GGAGGTGTGTCTGGTCTCTCTCAGGTGGAGGTGTGTCTGGTCTCTCTCAGGTGGAGGTGTGTCTGGTCTCTCCCAGGTGGAGGTGTTTGTTCACCTGAGACCAGTCAGGTTGGACTCACCGTGGTTCCGTCCACGGCCACGTAGACTTTGGAGCGGCTGGAGTAGACCTCGATGTCCAGGACTTTGTGTCCGCCGGACGTCCTGCGAGGCGTCTCCACGTTGGGCTGGACGTCTTCTGAAAGACCAGGAGGATAAAATAAAGCTTCCTGTGGGGCGGGGCCAACACGTGTCACTTCCTGTTTCCTCTCACCGTAGTCCTGAGACTCCGCCTCTTCACTGGCCACTCTCCTGGTGTCCAGGATGAGCTTGATGTTCACCATGACTGTGACCAGGAGGAAGAGCACCGCCCCGACCTGCAGGAGGACACACAACACACAGTTCAACAGGACACAATAAACAACACAACACAACACAACACAGTTCAACAGGACACAATAAACAACACAACACAGTTCACAACACACAACACAACACAGTTCAGATGGAGGTCCAGTCCGGGTCGTGAGGGTCTGAGACTGAACCTCTGAGGAGAAATGTTCTGGTTCCTGATCAGAACCGAACCGAACCGGACTGACCTGACAGGACCTCCGAACAGAACCGAACCGGACTGACCTGACAGGACCTCCGGACCGTCCTCTTGTTGCTCAGCTGGTACTTCCAGGTCAGGTACCAGCTCCGCTGCTGGCGCGGGATGAAGGGCTTCGCTCGGGGGTTCGGGGTCCAGGTGTCCATCCCGGAGCCTCCGGCGGTGCCCCCCTCCACCTACCGAGACCAGGAGACCAGACCGGGTCTGTCCGCTCCAGAAGTCCCGGGCCTCCGTCACATCTCACCTGAAACAGGTCAGGGTGAAGTTGGAGCTGCGGGGTCCGGACTGGTTCTGAAACATGTTGATAAAAACTCACGGATTCTTCTGAAAGTCTGAAATCATCCTTTAATCCCGGAACAGCTGTAAATCCACCAAAACAGCTAAAAACGATGCTACATGCTAACTCGGGTTACTCTGGTGTTGCRTTTCTTCTTCTACGGTTCATTTCCGGTAGAGTCGCACTTCCGCCTCCTGCTGGCGGGAACCGGTGAGCAGCAGCAGAGACTGCAGACTCATTCACTTTATTTAAAGAGATGAACATCAGATCACAGCAGTTATAAAAACTTCAGGTCTAACCTAAATGTGACCGTTCTGCTCTTCATGACACTCCCATTCATAGATATAATAAAACKTTTTTATAATATCATTAAAGACCTTTAAGTTCTTATCAAATCACAGGTTAACTATCTTGGTTCCATCCAACTAAAGATCAAAAAGTGTCAACTAATCAGTGT